AGTGAGTGAGTGAGTGAGTGAGCGACATAAATAAAAGCAGATATCAGCAACAACGGCGAGAGTTGGGGCGATTGGGGACCTCGTGGACGCCGTGGCACTGGCGACCCCTGGCATGTAAGGCCCTTGCTTTGTTTTTAGAACTGGAAGGAGCGAGCACCAGCAATCAAGTTTTCATCATCCTCCATCCTTAAGCCGCGTGCTAGGTCTAGGTAGGACATATCGTGAAGATCCGGTGCTTTGCCCATGGAGGCTGACAGTGAGGAGATAGAAAGAGACACACAGAGAGAGAGAGAGAGCGAGTGAGACAGAATGAGAGAGCGAGCAGGGGAGAGAGCAAGAAAGAAAGAGAGAGGGGGAGAGAGAGCCAGAGAGGAGAGATCGAGAACGGGAGTGAGGGAGATTAAAACATCGCGAGCCCAGATAGGCTTCGACATTGAAGGAAAGACCCCCATGTGGAATCACTTTGGGGCCCAAAACTTGTCCAGCCTCACAAAACTTGAAAATATAGGCATGCAGCCCAGCCGAAACACTTGTCACGCAGAGTGCACGGCCTCGCGTGACCCCATCTGCAGGCTTCGCCGCAGATGGCTCAGATCTCATAACCAACAGCTTTTCTGCCCCGATTGTCGATCATGGTGGCACAGCCGCAAACACCGCCCACGGGCAGAACATTGGTGTTGTTTGCATCCGCGAGATTCGTGAGAGATGACATCCTGAGGTGATCAGGATCTGCACAGTTTAAAAATCTAGGTCGCTGTTAATGTTGGGTGTGGGATGTAGAGTGAAAGCGCCAGGGGCGTGGGATGTGCAGCTTTCATGCTAGCAACCGTTATGTGCGATTGCATTGGTGGCTTCTGTTTTCGACTTCTCCATCGTGGCCGATAGTTGCATGGGCAGCCATAGCTGACCAGCGCGTGATTTGCCGAGAAAACCCGACACCATAAACTCCCCCAGAATTTGGAAAAGAAGCAGTATCTACCGGGTTTCAAGCGCTTGCGGCTACTGTCGACGCTTGGCTTGTACACCCCACTCATTGGGATGCCTATTGAACCATTATATGAAAACTACAATCCTTGTTCAAGGAGGAGGGTGTGCGTTCAAGTTGGGTCTAGGTTCGGGAGAATGGGGTGTGGGTGGCGGTTTGAAACAGCTTTCGCATGGTTCCAAGGCGTGCAGGATTCAGAGACAGAGAAAACCTCTGCAATTAATTCAACATCTATACGGGAGTTTCAGAATCGGGGCCCGCGTATGTAAGCAGATTACCCTCCTCAAACATGAACCTAAAACCTTAAACACCATGTTCAGGGAGCTTCGTATCGCCCTCTGACTGAGACCCTTGCCAGTTCATTCGTTAGCGACCAAATGAAGCCTAAATCAGGTTATGACTCATGTCCGATACAGGGCTTCATACTCTAGTAAAGAGAGGCTCGATCGTTTAACCCTAAAACCCTAAACCCCAATTTGTATAGCATCCCCAGTCAGGGTATTCAAGGTTCCATGATGGATGATGCCAATAATGCAAGCCGTGCGTTCTAGACTCACTCGTACTGCAGTCGCCTAAGGGCCCCTGAAAGCCATGTTTGGTTTGAATAAAGGGCTGTAACTGTAGACTCTCTTGAAGGTGGGGTCTACATTTGAAGGTTTATGGATGTATCCTGTTGAACGTCCTTACTCAAAAGTTACGCTTGATTCCCAAACCCGACACCGAACCCCGACTCAAAACCCTAAAGCCCCAACCCCAACCCGTTTTTAGAACCCTTGTAGAACCGATGTGGAACCCTCGTAAAACCCTTCAAATCTAAATTTGTAAAGTCCTTATAGAACGTTTACAGATCCTTTATGAAGCATTATATAGAACTTTCAAACAATAACTAATGGGTCCCTTACAATTTCCTCATGAAACTTTTTTTGTCCGCATCCTCCAACGGCCCGAGGCAGGATTTGGGGCGCAGAGGCAAAGGTACCAAGCGACCGAATCTCGTCGGCTCCAGTTCTTGGATAAGGGCTTTGAGTCTTAGGGTAAGGGTAAGGGAGGGTTTGGGGCTTGGGGTTTACATTTAGGGTTGACGGTAGGTTTTAAGTCAGGTAGATAACGGCATTTTCGCTACAAGCCGCTTGGAGTCTAACTTTTAGTGCTTTGTGGATATAGAATTCGGTCAAGAATCCTGAACTGTCCTGGGCATGGTAAATTTTCGGTATTTTTGTCGGGTTGTAAGTACATTTGCCTCGGTCCAACGAGCAATGTGCTTTGGATATGTAAACGCACATCTCAGAAGCCGACAATCCCACAGATCCCTGAAGCACTAAATGCGAGACCTATAATCCAAAGCCCATATGAAACATCGGTAAGACCAATGGAAACCCTTCAAAGCATTCCAGTGCATACTGAATGACCATGCCCGATCCCTGAACGATTATAATTCATAATGAAACAGTTTCTACACCCTAAGCCGAAAAGCCCGAAGCTTTAAGCATAAAGAGGTATGAGCAAAAACAAATTAAACCACCAGCATACTACGCCCGATGCCTCCTTTACAGAGCCTTCCAAACACGCTAAGCACATCCCCCAACACCAGAAACCCTAAAACCCCAAACCCGGAACCCTAAATGCATCGAACAAATCCCAGAATGGCTCCGGCTCCTCGAGAGCGAAGACGCGCCGGGGCTTAACAGCCTCGACTCCGAGGTGCCTCCTTGGGGTATTCGTGTCGAGATTTAGGGTTCAGGTTTTGGGTTTTGGGGGAAGTGACCTTTATCTTGGGTTTGTGTGTTTTGGGGGGGTTCAGGGCTCTTTTAGTTACAGCCTTAGCAGTATTCTAGCACATGTATATAATGATTTTCTAGGGAGTATGCATGCATATCCTAGTTATAACATCTAGATCAGGGATCACAGGGGCCGGCTGTGATTTTAAAGCACGAGTTGTAGCAGAGATCCACAATTGGGTTTTACGCGCTTGTGGGTTTTAGGGGTTAGGGCTCGTAAAAGAAAACCATGGTCCATGATATGGGTTCTGACTATCATGGTCCGGTGATTACCGTGATTTGGGGGTCCTAGTTGGTTTTTTTGTTGAATCCTAGGGTCTCGCTCAATCTTGTTGCGACCTATGGTAATTTCATGTTTGGGGTCGAGGGTTTACGGCTGGAAAAGCGCAGTAATAGCGGTCTACATGAGTTCTACGCTTGTTTTCTTTGAGGGAGGGAGGCGGGGGAGTGTTTTGAGGGTTACGGATTTGGGTCATTGGGATTAGCTGGGTTAGGGCTCTCTTTTTTGAAGGGGCTTAGCTGTTTTAAATTCAAGAGACTTAACTGTTTGCGTTTTAGTCTCAGCTGATGATAAGGGTATTATACGAAAGGCGGGTGTTTCAAGGGTTCTAAACAGGTTGTAGAGTAATCCGAGGTAGGGGATTAGATGACGATTGTGATTTGCGTTAGCGGCCCCACGTCCCATTGGACCCTGTGGGTTCAAGAAGTGATTGTTTATGGTTGCTAATACGGGAAATAAGCCGCGCCCCACAGAAGAAGGCAGCAAAAAGAAGTTACGACAGCCTCAACTCGATTTACAGCCTCACGTCATAGTCCAAACCCGGTAAAACCTCAACCTCAAGCTTACATCCTCACTCCCCCTTGCGGTGAATTTCAATTTTGCCATATCTGCAACCCTAAACCCTAAGCCCTAACCCAAAGTTTTGCAGGTGTGGAATTCGGATTCTGGCAGCTACCTGGCACGCGGCTCGGCCAGATCTCTCGGTGATGTGGCAGTGCTTCTTAGGGTTGTAGTTTTGGGGCCCTCAAAAGCATTCATGAATAGGTACCTCTCTAGAGGAACCATAAGGGAAATTTCAAAGCTTCCCAAAGTGCCACCTAGCTCTGTAATTGAAGCTGACTTTTGGGTGTCTTAAGGTCGCGATTGGTTTTCTGCGGGCTTGTCTGTACCCATAGGCCCCGAAGTAGTTCTTTTTGTCATTACCCTATCGGATTCTAAATATAATCCACAAAAAGGAACTATTTCAGGTCCTATGGGTAAGGCATGCATTCAATCCGGTTTCGATGGGGGTGGTCCCTGGATTTCTGCAGGGCTTGTTTTAAGGTTTACGTGAAGTATGCTGACCTCTAGCCGAAAAGACCTACCGTCTAGGGTTCCTTACTATGGTTTCTATGTAAGGTAGGTCTTTCGGGCCAGGTAGGCCTTCTATCAAATCACAGGTTTTTAGGGTTTAGGGTTCAAGGTTTAGGGATCGAGGTGCATCATGGATGATTGCACGAGTTTGGGGTTTCACTCAATGGGTGGTTTTCTCGAATAAGGTTTCTATTCAGATCCACATCACTCTGATGATAGGGACCTTATAGCCCGAAACCTTGGGTACTGCCCCCATACAGTAACAATCTATAATAGGGCTACGGGCCTTATATATCCACATTATGAATATTACTACACTGTCACTGAGTGGGGGCAGTATCAAGCCTAAACCCTAACCTCCAGGCAAACCCTTGCTGTAGAGCTCTACGACCCCCTCTCAACAACAACAATCATAAACTGCAGCTGCAAGTCCAAAACACTTATGTCAGAAGCCAGAAAATGCACCCAAACATAAACTTTTGGGTGGGATGTCCCAACCTTCCTAGCTTCTGGAATGTCCCAGCTTTCTGGTTCTTGGTTGAGGTGGCCATTTTGTATCCGAAATATGCATCCCTTTAAACCCTAAACCCTATACCCTATAAACCCGAAGCCCTAAACCCTATAAGCCCTAAGCCCTAAACCAAGAGAGCCTGGCCGAGCGCCAGGCCTGCTGCAGAAGTACGACTGGGCTTGGGATGAGAAGCGGCAACGCTTTGCTTTCCAGAGCACTCCAGACGTGCCACTGGGGTCGCAAATATTGCTTAGGCCGTATGTATGCGTAAACAAATGCATGAAACCCCCCATTATAGACCCTCAAACCCCTATAGACCCCAAGCAACCCTAACACCCTTCAACCTCTTCAGATTTTACGCTCAAGCGATTCCCAAGCCCTTGCAAGTAGCTATGAACCCTAATTTACCTACCCCCCCCCCCGCCCCCACCAAGCCCACCAATGCTGAACTAAACCATAAGCGCAGCCGAACCGGAAAGTTTAGACTTGCGGGCTGGTCCCGGTATACCCTAAACCCTACCTCAAGCTGCCAGAACCTATGTTTTGGTAGGTTCTGATTATACACCTCATTTTGGATTCGCCGGAGCCCACAGTGACGTTGTAAGGCACCCACAAAGAAGTAAGTTCGGGGTTTTAGGGTTCAGGGTTTAGTAAGTTACGGTTTAGGGTAAGGTTCAGGCAAGCCCCGAACCCTTCAGCCCTAAGGTGTCTAATGTCCTCCCCCGAGCCCCAATCCTAGGCCGCTGCAACTTATAACCCTAAACCCCTGAGCCCAAACCATCCCGTCTAGATCCACTCTAAGAAGAACCCCCGCCCTTTAGAAGAGCTCTTAAAGGAGCCCCCTAAACCCTAAACCCTAAACCCTAAACCGTGAGCCCTTTCAAGAAAGGAAGCCCGCGCACATGTGGAGGAACTTAGGTTCCCCCGTTGTACGGCCCTTTCGGGTCTCTGGTCTCTTGCAGGGTTTAGGGTTTAGGGTTTAGGGTTTAGGTGGTCCCCCAAATACCCAACCTTTAAACTTTTTAGGTTCTTGTAATTTAGTAGTAATCTGAAAGTTTAACCTTGTCTTTCCCTGGCTCATTGCGGAAGTAAGTTTAGGATGCAGGGACGGACAGGACAGGAAAAGGTGACCCTTATGCTTAATGTGACTTGAAGAATAAGACACCTTTGTAACCCTCGAACAGTTCTTGCACCATGTTAAATCCTATCTAAAAGCTCGCCATCACGAAAAAAGCCACAGTATACAACCCGATTAAAACCAACCCCTAAACCCTTAACAATAAACCCTAAACCCTCAACGCTAAACAAATGCAGACGCAGGGAGTCCTTGGCAACGAAGCTGAAGCTGCTTTGCGGCGCCCCGCTGGTGGCCCCGAGCAGCCAAGAGCAGGAGGATGAGGAGGACGAGGAGGAGGAGGGAAGTAGGAGCTATAAGGGGTTTAGGCTTTAGGGCTTATAGGGTTTAGGGTTTAGAGTTTAGGGTTGGAGGAGGAGGGGAGTAGGAGCTATCTGGTTAGCTGGACCCTAAAGCACCTAATTTTTTAGGGTTCCTTAATTCTATGATTTCCTGATATAAGTCCCTAAAAAGGGTAGGTCGTTTGGGGTTAAGGTAGGGTTTGTAGGGCTGGTGGGTTCGGTTTGAGTATATGTTACTATGTTGATCAGGGGTTTGAGGTTCAGGATGTTGGGCTTCGGGTGCTGGGCTTTGCTTGGAGTTTAAGGTAGCTCCAGGTAGCTAGAGTCGCTTCTGCACATTTCTGTGCCTCACAACATAGAACCCTTCTTGCACTGTGACTGCCCAAGAACCCGAAGCCCATACAAACCCCGATACAAACAGGATCCTAAATCAATCTATTCGCAGCTAGCCACGCACCTTCAAGCAGAGCTCACGCCACAGGACTGGCAGGACTGGGATTGGCAAGACGCTGCAACTCGGCGCAGAGAACTTCTGATTCGCTTAGGCGCGGCTACGATTCAGGGCGTACGGGTCTCCAGTATCGCGAATCGCGAGGGTCTCGGTGTGTAGATAAAGGGCAATAGATGGGGGCTTCGGGTTGAGAACTGGCTAGGGTTGCACAGGGCCTTTTTTCTTCGGGCTGTTACAAGATACATAATCTAGGGGTCTGAACTCTTGGCAACAAAGTATAATGTCCGCATAATGATGGTATGATCCGGTCATTTAAAGTCCGAATACAAAGATGCCATGTTCTACCCTCCCCTGAGCTGCCTCTCGACTAAGCCCGGAATGCACCGTAGTTCCCGTTTACGGTTTAGGGTTTAGGGTTTTTAGGATTAGGGTTTAGGGTTTAGGGTTTAGGGTTTAGGGTTAGGGTTCACAACCCTAAGAAGAACGCGCGTCAAACTTTGTACACAGGCCTTGTAGTAGAGACTTTGAGCTTATGCCAATCACCCAAACCCTAGAACCGAAGCACAAAAACCCTGCGAAAGTAAACCCGATGCACACCCGAAGCCCTAAACCCTGAGCCCTTGCGGAACAATTATCTTCCTGAAAAAGGGTTCCTCAGTATACCTTCAGGACCAAGTGACCCTTAACAGTAGGGGCCCTATACCCTTATACTATGAATCCCATTATGGTATATGAACCCTAAACCCTTTTAGGGTTCGTCTCGTCTTTAAGGTACTTCTGACTACAAGAGATCCCAGAACCCTATCAAGCGCTTTGAAGCCCTCAGAGTAGGCTACGGAACCGTTAGACCCCTAAAAAAGGGCCCTTGAAATGGAGCCCTTGAAGTTCCAACTGTCAAGGCCTCTATATCGACCGTCAGCATAAACCCTAAACCTTAAACTCTAGAGCTTATGAGCCCTAAGCCTAGAACTCGAGACCTTATGAACCCTAAACCCGAAACCCTAGACGGCATGAGCCCTAAACCCTTTCGAAGGATTGGACCGCCTGGTGCGGAGAGGACCAGTGGACCGAGCAGGTGCCTTGCAGTTTAGGGGCTAGGGTCTAGGCGTTTATCGTTTTTGGGGTTAAGGGTTTAGGGGTTTAGGGCTTGGGTTTGTGCGGTTTAGGGGTTTAGGGCTCAGGGGTTTAGGAGTTTAGGAGTTAGGGGTTTGGGGGTTAGGCAGGGGTTTCGGGTTTTGGGGTTTAGGTGGCGGGCTTTTAAAATTTTAGTATAGTTAATGGGATCTGAATAGTAAATGCTGTCTTACAGGGTTCCTTTATGGGTTCTTTGAAGGGTCTACAACAGCCACTCCGGGCTTTGTGGAGGGGCCTGAGAAAGTGCTAAGACTAGGGTTTAGGGTTTAGGGTTTAGTCTTGTTGGTTCCGACTTGTAGCTGTAGTAACGAAGCTCTCCGGCCTTTCCCCCGAAAGCCTATGCTAATCATTAAGGCCAAACCCTGAACCCCTAAACCCTAAACCCCTAAACCCCCCTCAAAGCGACGCCCCCAAACCCCAAACCCAAACGGGATCCCTGACAGGAGTGGTGCGAGTGGCAGGACCGGAGAAGTGTTCACTCCTTACAAAGAAGACCGTCAGCGTCGCCTTATGTTACAGAGATTTGTATCGCTTGACAAGCTGCTGTTGCTTGTAAGGTTGTTTTCATGCATATTTCAAAAGGTGTCAGAGGTGTATTTCTGGGCTAGGTCTTCCAGGGTACTTGCAGGATCTGCGGATTGATAATTAATTGCACTTACTAGCGGTCAGACGAAAGCCTACATACACTAAGCTGGTCTGATAAGGGGGTATTGGGCTTTTGTTCCGATGCCGGCAAGTGCGTGCTGCAGGAGATGTCGGCCGATGCGGAGATTCCGACGGAATGGCAAGCCAAGCAAAAGAGATTGGATTCGTTAGGGTGGATAAGGGATTCCATCATTAGTGTCTGCGAGGTCTCAGACTATGTGAATACATGCTTATCTACGGGTGCAAGTACCCATTATTTAAGGACTTTGGGGCTGTTTTGGGTACTTAAAAACCATACTACTTGGACCCTTAGGGCTTTATGGCATTTATGGGTACCTGGACCCTCAGGTTTACAAGGCTCTATCGCCCCGTAAACCCACCTGGCTCTCTGGCAGCAGGCCTGGCCGCATCAGCGAGGTGCGGACCGTGCCGCCGGAGACACTTCTTTGCACTAATCCTGAGGTAGGAGGAATGAGCAGTAGTATCTCCTTGCTTTGGGATTAGGGTTTAGGCTACACCCTAAACCTTAAAGTAGTATCTCCTTGCTTTGGGTTTAGGGTTTAGGGGATACGGATTTGGACAGAGTTTAGGTTTAGGGTTTGGGATTTA